GACAGGAGGACTGGGCCCTGTTCACCAGGCAAAGTTCTGAGAGTTTAGTTTTCAGTGTCCACAGGGACAAAATAGGCTGGTAAGGTCAGTGGAAATGTTTGATACTTAGAGAGTTCTCCCTCTTATTGTGAAGTAATCATTTAATTGGAAGTGCCCATTCCTTTGGGCAAGTATTCTCATAAATGGGGCTCTAACATTCTAGTAAGGAGGACTCTCTGAATCTACAAGACGAAGACCTCACCTCAAGCGGTGATTCATTCACCGAGTAAAAGCCGCTTCGTAAAGGAAAATGAAAGAATGTGTGACTCACCCACCTGAGAAATCAGGGAGAGGGTGGTAGATCTCTTCTGGGCACAGTTGGATCCGGTGTCTCCAAGGAGGGTGTCAAGGCTGTCTCTTGTGTGCAAGGCCCTCAGTCAGGAGCTATCTGTGTATGATGGGACAGATGGCTCACAGGGCCTTCCAGATTGCAGTCCCCAAACAAGAGGGCACCTGGGCTGATGCTCTAGCAGAGTCCCTTGAAGACTCTGACCACCCTGGAGCAAGGGGCCCAGGGCAGCTGGTCCTATCCAAGTCACTTGGACCATACAGAGCATACGGGAAATGAGGAGAGGGTGGCTATCCAAGAAAAGGAGAGTGAGCATACAATTCTCATCTCCTACGGATCTTCTGGAGACCATGGGGGAGCCTTCTGCCTCTGCCTTTTTTTACTGAATTCACTACAGTCATTCCTTGTGAATCTCTCACATCACTAGTGTCTAAGAAATGGCGAGTGCTATGAAGCCTGCCTCCTGCCGATGCGAGGAGAACAGGCCTGAATCCTCTTCACTTCCACTAAAGCAGGTATAGGGAAAACAAATGTAGAAGCAGATTGGGATTCAAGACTCAGTTCTTTGGAGCAAGTCTCTGAAGCCTGTTTCCTCAAAGAAAATGAAGACAGTGTACCTGTGTAGGGTAACGGTGAGAATGGAATGGGTGAAAGGGTGCCTAGGATAGAGCCTGGTGCTTGATACATGTTTGTGAACAGGCAAACCTGTATTTCATAAAGCTAGTTAGTGCAATCAGCAGGTTTTCATTCTGGGAAGTTAAAGCTATTTTGGCAACTAGACAACTGCTTCTAAAGCTTTGCTGGTTAACCAAGCCCACTGGAGAATTCCCACATAGCTGTGAGGAAGAGAGGAATTTTTCTCTTTGCCTCAGCTGATGGGGATTGTTGGGGCTACATGTCAGTGGTGGCTTAAAGAACCCCAGCTTACTTACAGAAAGAAGATTTGAGATCTACCAGTTCTATCTTCCAGAATATCTTCGTTTCATTTCCTTTCTCTTTTGTCTTTTATTTTTTTATTTTTTTTTTTAAGATTTTATTTATTTATTTGACAGACAGAGATCACAAGTAGGCAGAGAGGCAGGCAGAGAGAGAGAGAAGATGAAGCAGGCTCCCTGCGGAGCAGACAGCCCGATGTGGGGCTTGATCCCAGGACCCTGGGATCATGACCTGGGCCGAAGGCAGAGGCTTTAACCCACTGAGCCACCGAGGCGCCCCTCTCTTTTGTCTTTTAATTGACGGGTGTGAGGAAGTAGAAAGATCATACCATTAAGTTTTTTTTGAGGTATCATTAATTTTTCAGATGGAAAATGAAACCAGTCAGGGAAGGAATCAGAGCACAGGAAGCCAGCATGGGGGACAGATATTTCCCCAGACCATGGGAAGCTTGGGAAACAATTCCTGCCCCACTGTGACTGGCAAGTTTGGGTTTTGGAATGGAAAGCCTTGCTTCCTAGAATGTCCTGTACACTAGTTCTCTTTTCTGAGATTGTTTGATCATTCCTGTTCTATTCCACGAATATACTTCATGAAGCTTTGGTTACCTATCAGCCCCCACATTCCAGTTTTGCATCCTAGAGATTCATCTGAGGTGACCTTGATTTGAGTTCTGGGAGCTTTTAAAGACTATATCTTGATTTTACACCCACAGATGGCTAGTTAATGTGTGTAGAGTTTATTGGTCCAACTTCTAGAGGGCAACTTTATTTCCCCCCTTTTTTTTGCTTTTGGGTAAGGGCACCTCATTGTTTCCTATATACTGCCAATAAGCTGGTTTTATTGAGGGAAAACAGCTGTGCAAAGTCTCCTGGTTTCAGGTCAGATGGGGACAGATAGTGCTGTCCTGTCTACTTGAAATCAGAGTCTCATTTTTGTTTCTCTTGCTCACTGGCGGAGAAAGGAACAAACACATGAACAGTATTTTCCTATTTGGAAAATTTTTTTTCAGTTATTTTTTACTCATGTTTCAGATTCTTATAACATTCCATGCTTTATTTTCTCCCATTAAACTTCCCTGTAACTATGAGAATAATTTATTTCAAATAAACTATATTTTACTATAAAAGTAATATTCATTGAAAAAAACTGCACCAAGACCAAAGTAACAGTTACTTAGTTATATATATACATATATATATGTATATATATATGTATATATATATATATATATATATATATTTATGAAAGAAATTCTCCCAGTCAGAATGATTTATTCTATTCCTGCGTTCATACACGTTTTCTACTAATAGTAATAATTAGCCACAAAAGAGTAATAAGAAAACAGGAAAAAAAAAAGTAAATGATATATTGTTCTACTGCAGAATTTCAGATTGATAATTTATACCACCATACTGAGATTCTAAAATAGCCTTCAGCTTTGTTTCATTAGGGCTTGAGGCAAATATGAACTGATAACTACCTGTATCCACAGTTATGGAATGAGCTTTAGACATCACCAGAGATGACATCCTGAGACACAGAAGTGCAAGGGTGCTCCCTGAAAACCCATTTCTGTGTGTGATTAAATCTTTCTTCCTCCTTGTCTTTCTCTATATTCTTTTATTATTATTATTTTTTATTTTTCTTAAGAATTTGTTTATTTACTTGATAGAGATATCACAAGTAGGCAGGGAGGCAGGCAGAGAGAGAGAGAGGAAGGGAAGCAAGATCCTCGCCGAGTAGAGAGTTCGATTCCAGGACCCCGAGATCATGACCTGAGCCGAAGGCAGAGGCCTTAACCCACTGAGCCACCCAGGTGCCCTCTCTATATTCTTTTACTCTCCTCTACCTTCCTGTCTTCCACCACAGGCTTTTCTTAGTTAGCCCTAATAAAGATGTAGCCACATTTTAAATGACTTTATTTTTTAAAAGAGATTTTATTTGAGAGTGAGAGAGCCAACATGAGTGGAGGGAGGGGCAGAGGCAGAAGCAGGCTCCCCGCTAAGCAGGGAGCCCAACTCCTGGTCTATCCCAGGACCCTGGGACCATGACCTGAGTCCAAGGCAGATGCTTAACCGACTGAGCCACCCAGGCGTCCCAAATCACTTATATATAAATCTGTGTTCAACAATTTCTTGTCTCGAATGGAGACTTTTATACGCAAGGTCCCTTTGATGAGATCTTCGTTTGGAGGGCAAGTAACCCTCAGAAATACTTAAAGTCTCTCAGAACAAAGTCATTGAGCCATTCTTCATACTCCTCTTGCGCAATCGCTGCCCCACTTCTGGTCACTGAAACTGAGCCCAGGCTTCAAACCTTGCCGAAAATGCTACTTCTCTTGGGAGGTCTTTCTTCCGCACCAGCCCTTCAACTAGGTGTGATTGCTCCTTCCCACAAATTCCAGTCATACTCTGTACCAGCTTTATGACACTGATGCTAAACCTGCTTGGATTTGTGTAGCTGTTGTATTCCTCTTTTAAGTTATGAGACTTCAGAGCCAGGTTCAGTGGCTTACTCTTTGAACCCCTTGCAGCTACAGTGCTTTCTAAATAAGAGTTCTAGAAATTGAATAATTGTGGCCATCTTTGCTTCACTTACTTACTTACAATTATTATAACTGTATTATTATAATTGTGTAGATTTAACAGAGCTGTAAAGGCATAAACTACTAATCAAAAAGTAGATCAATTTTTGCTTACTAACAATACTTGGTGTTTGTGGTTTGTGTGTGTGTGTGTGTTTTCTCCTTCAGCTGCATGAGTACAAACTGTATGAAATCTTTACTTAATGTTCTCAGTTTTTAGAGTAAGTTGTTGAACTGCTCATTCAGAGTCTGGACTCCCTTCCTGAAACCAGATGACACACTTCTTGCCCTTCCCATACCAAGTCCCTCCCTCAGTGGCCCACTTCCTCTCTACAGCAAGGCACTGAGCTCTGAACCCAAGCTGGCAAACTCCCCTCTCTTCTCACTTTCCCGCGGAGGTGTGTTCCTTTCTCTTAAGCATTGCTAACAGGACCAATCCTTGCCAGAAACGGGAAACTTGCCAAATGCTCAAGCCAATGTTCAAGCACCACACTTCCTCACTACTTGCAGTGGTGAGCTGGGATAAAATTCAGGAGACTTATAAAAGCCAAATGGAGACTGCACAATTATCCTTATGGAAACTTGTGGTAAAAGAATAGTGTGGCCATTTTACAATGTCACGAACTACGTGCACAAATGATCAACATATTTGTATGTTGAATTATAACTGTACAGCTTGAAATCATGAAGAGCTGTTTCTAAAATATATATACATAAAAAGTGAATTAGATTTTTCGGGTGTACTCTCCATAGTAATTTTTAAGGAAGAAAGTACTTTTAAAAATCCCAGTAGATTTTTCTTTTTCTTTCTTACTTTTTTTTTGGGGGTGGGCATGGTCGGAAGTGCGGTTGAATGTAAAATTTTGTGGTTTCAAAGAACGCTTAAGTGATGAATTAATGTGATGTGAAAGAAAGCTAACCGCCTCATTCTCTTGCAGTCTAATCACAAACCACCCCTTTTTTCCCCCCAGCCTTAGGGGAGGGAGCCTTTAATAATGGTCTGTGTAAACTGATACAGTTCGAAGTTCAAAGCATGAGTTCGAAGAAGCGCTGCTCCAACACGTTGAAGCGGAGCAAAGAGCAACCCCCAAGGACAACAGCTCCCCAAACAAAAAAATTGCTTCGAACAACCAATCCACCCAAACGGCTGCAATGGCTCTGCTGGCGCGAATCCTGAAAACCCGTGTGAGCCCGGCGTCCGGGCGGGGCGGGTTCCTGGGCGCCGGGGTCCGGCGGCCGGCCCGGCCCGAGGGCGCCCGGCTGCCGACGGGGGCGCGGGCCGAAGACAAAGGAGCCGGGCGGCGGGGAGCGCCGCGGGCCGGGGGCCAGGCCGAGGGACCCCGCAGCCTCGCCGCCATGCCGGGGCCCCGCACCCTCGCCAACCTGGTGGAGTTCTTCTGGAAGGACGGCTTCAGCCGCATCCACGAGATCCAGGTAGCGGCGCGCGCGGGGCCGGAAGGGGAGCGGGCCAGGGCACGGTTCCTCTGAGCTCGGAGAGCTCGCGCGCGCCGGAGGGCGTCTGGGAGGAGGCACCTCGGAGGGTGCCTGAAGGGACTCCAGGGAGGGGGCACCGGGCGGGGGACGCCGGGTGGGGGTGGGGCAAGAAAAGTGGCTTCAAGGAAGGGCGCCAGGGCGGGGTCTCCGGGCTGGGCGCGCGGGGGAGAGAGCTCTGGCGAGTGAGCGTGAGGAGGGGTGCCGGGGAGCAGTCCCCGGGTAGGAGACCTCGCGCGGGGTTGGGACGTGTGGAGCCCAGCTGAGGGAGTCGCCGTCCCGCCCCGGGATGGCCCCGAGGGGGGCCCAGAAGAGCTCCTTCTCCCGCGGGGGTGTCGGGGGCCGGCCCCGGAGGGCTGCGAGCAGCTCTGAGCTCTCAGAGCACCGCGGTCTACGCGGTCTAAGTCAGGTTGAGTCCGTTTCTGGTCCCTTTTGCTTGTGTTTTGTAAATGGAAAACAAACACGTTCCCCCTCCCCCAAAGAGCCGAGGTCCGGAGGTCACAGGTCGGTTAGCCTCTAAGTGATGAGGTCGCCACACGAATGTAAATGAACCTTGGCTGCAAGCCAGGACTCAGGCAGGGACCTAGGAAGAACCCAGTCGTTCCAACAACCTGTAGGAGTTTTGGGACCGGCTCAGTCTACAGTTTCTTATCTTGACCCTGAGTTTTGCCTTTCTTCCCTCATCGCACATTGCGCCCTTCACTGCAAGGCGACCCTCCACCTTCCTCTCGTTCGCTCTGGCAGCTGCTTCCTCGCTGGACTTCCTCGCTGGGCTCCCACCCCAGCGCACACTTATTTCTGGGACCCTTATGACTGTTTCCAAGAACACCCTCCCCCCACCCCCACTCCCCACTCCCCATAGCCCCACTTCCTTCTGTCATCCTTCAAAGCACTTCTCAGGGGGAAATCTGTGACCACCCACCTGGCCTGCCGTCATGGTCTTTCATTCGTTCCCTCAACCGAGAAGCATACGTGGTGGTGCAGAGGCCTTGATTGGGCTGGAGAAGCAGAAACTTCATTGGGAGAGAACAACAGTAGAACTCAGGAGCAAGTTTAATTTGATTGAAATTCCAGCCCTCCTCTCCATCCCCCACACCAACCCTACACAGTGTTCTGCCTGACATGCTTCTAGGGGTCAGAAATGATTTTCTCTCTTTTCTGTGTGGAATTTGAACATAAGCTATTAGGATGGTAGTTTTCAAATGGGATAAAACATGTTTTGCTATTGATTGTGGGCAAGTCATTGCAGCTGGATTTTTTTGTTTCTGTTTTTTTTTTTTTTTTTTTCCTTTTACCTGCCTCTGGTGCCATCTGGTTTTGTCCTCACAGTATAAGCCCACAGTTGGTTCCTCAGCACAGGTTTCTTCGAGAAGCTGACCATGTTTAAAACCTGCTTCTCCAGCAGGAGCCACCTAGGGAGCCACCTCTCCACAACTACAAAGTGTTCAGAGGGGCGTTTTCTCTGCATCTGGCCTGCTTCCCGCCATCACCCTACAGGCAGCCCTCCTGCCCAAGGCTCAGACCCCACCTATCACCGTGATCAGTCCTGAGTGGTAGCACCACTTGCCAGAGGACAGTCATGGAACTAACTCACCTGAGCTTTCCTGAAACAGGGTAGACAGGCCCCAACTGTTCCCAGCTCTGTTGTCCTTCTGGGCTCCCCTTTTCCTTTATTCTCCAAATAGCACTCATTTGCAAGAGCTGGAATCCTCCTGAAACCTCTCTGAGGACCCCAGGGAGTGCTTGATTTCCTTGGGTTACCCCACTGCAGGAGTGCTCAGATTGCTCTAGACTGAATAAGGTTTTAGCAAGCCCATCTGCCCTGTTCTTCAGCTTGCTCCTGAGGCACTTGTAGGAGGAAGACAGTTACTCTGCTACCATTACCTCCAGTATACTTTATTCCACTTGTGATCACACTTGTGATAACACAGTGTTAGCTCACGAGTCATCTGTATGGTCCAAGTCTTTCCTGCACAGGTGGAAAAGACCCAGGTGTTGGTTGAGTGACTTGCCGGAGGTCACACAGCTTGTTAGTGGCAGAGCAGACATCCCAGCCTGTGTTGCCAAAGACTGGTTTCAGATGTGACGGAGCAGGAGGGCCCTGTGTTCAAATGTTAGCCCTCCACAGGCACCTGTGGAGTCTTGACCAATTATTTATTCTTTCTGGACCTTAGTTTCCTTGTCTGTACCGGAGTCTGACAGTCCTCATCCATCTCACAAGTTATGGTCAGGTCAAATGAGATTAGGACTGTGGAAGGGCTTTGTATGCTATAATCATAACATGTAAATACTAATAATGAACATTTCTAGAACTCTTTTCAAAGTCCTACACATGAGGCAAGTTCTATTATTTGTCCATTTCTCAGGTGAGGAAACTGAAGTACAGTGGGTAAGGTTGCCTAGCTAATGCACGTTGAGCTAAGATTCAAACTCCAGTGTCTGTGCTTCTAATGACCAGACAAATTCTAAGTACTGGGACTGACTGTATGGTTCTGTGGTCCGCTAGCAAAAAAGGGCTGTACAGTATCTGGGTCATTCATCTTGTTCTTTCTTGTGCCCGGTCGATTGCTTCCTTGGGCTGAGGGTGCCCGTTCAATAGCTGAATTTGTTTGGGGAGTGACCCATTTCCCAGTAGTTTCAATCCCATTTCCCAGTAGTACAGTCATCTCATCCATGATTCCCATTCAGAGACCCAGCGGAACACCTTTCAACTGAGTCTGAGTTTCTTCATATCTGGGTGGGAGGACTTCACCCAGGTTGATAACGAAGTGAGTATCTTCTATCTGAAGAGTAGAAGAACAGAGAGACAACAGCCCCTCTGGCCTGCTATTTCTGAGGTTAAGAAGGGGGTGATAAGAAATGTTGGCAGATGCGAAAGAGAGACTTAGTCATTTTCTCCATATGCTCAGCCCTGGCTCTGCCATGCGACCTAAGGCTAGAGGCTCTCTCTCTCTCTCTTTTATTTATTTATTTAACCCATTTACATTTATTGTGATTTCTCTTTGTCTTTTGGTACTAGCGCTATTGAGATATAATTCATATACCACACAACAGTCACCACAGTCAATCTTAGAACACGTTCAAAACCTTAAAAAGAAACTCCATATTGTTTCTTTTAGCTATCACTTCCCAACTCTCTGTCCCTCCAGCCATAAGCAACCATTAACTTACTTTCTGTCCTTGTAGACTGGCCTATTCTGGAGATTTCATATAACTGGAATCATAACATGTGGTCTTTTGTGTCTGGCTTCTTTCACTTAGCATCACGTTTTCAAGGTTCATCTATGTTGTGGTGTGTACCAGTACATCATTTCTTTTTATGGACAAATAATACTCCAGTGTAGGGGCATACTACATTTTGCTTGTCCATTCATCAGTTGACAGACACGTGGATCATTTCTACCTTTTTGCTAATTGTGAAAAATGCAGCTATGAACATTCAGTATAAGTTTATTTTTGTATAGATATATATTTTCATTTCTTTGGATATATATCTAGGAATGGAATTGCAGGGTCAAATAGCACCTCTAGTTGAAACTTTTGAGGAACTGCCAGACTGTTTCTCAAAGTGGCTGCACTATGTACATTCCAACCAGCAAGTGTAAGAGGTTGTGATTTCTCCACATTCTTACCTATTCTTTTGATTATAACCACTGTAGTAGATGTGAAGTGGCATCTCATTGTGATTAGGATTTGCATTTCCCTGATGACTAATGATGTTGAGCTTCTTTTCATCTGCTTATTATCCATTTGTATATCTTCTTTGGAGAAATGTCCATTCAAATAATTGCCCATTCTTTAATTGGTTCATTGTTTTATTGAGTTGTAATAGTTCTTTATATGTTTTACATACAAGTCCCTTATCAGATATGTGCTTTGCAAATATTTTGCCAATTCTGGGGATTATCTTTTACTTTCTTTATAGTGTCCTTTGAAACCCAAAGTTTTAAATCATGATGAAGTCCAATTATCTACTTTTTCTTTTGTTGTTCATGGTTCTGGTTTTATATCTTAAGATGCCATTGCCAAATTCAAGGTCATGAAGATTCACCCCTATCTTTTCCTATAAGAATTTTATGGTTTTGGCTCTTATATTTAGGACTTGAACGCTTTTGAGGAAATTTCTATATCTGGTATGAAAGAAGGGTATATATTCATTCTTTGCCTTAGATATCCACTTGTCCCTGCATCCCCATTTGTTGAAGAGACTATTCTTCCCCAAATTAATTGTCTTGGCACTGGCACCCTTGTGGAAAATCAGTTGACCAGAGATGTGTGGGTTTATTTCTGAATTCTCAATTCTACTCCAGCAGTTTAGATGTTTATCCTCATGCCAGTACTACGCTGTCTTGATTACCATTGCTTTTGTAGCAAGTTTTGAAATAGAGAAAAGGGAAGCCTTCAACTTTGCTCTTTTTTTCAGGGTTGTTTTTTATATTGGTCCCTTGCATTTCCGTATGAATTTTAAGCTTGTCAATTTTCTACAAAGAAGTCAAAAGAAATTCTGATAGAGATTGTGTTGAAACTTTGGGTCAATATGGGGAGTATTCCCATCTTAATATTATTAAGTCTTCCAATCCAGGAACATGGGAAAGCTTTCCATTTATTTAGGTCTTCTTTAATTTCTTTCAATGGCTTTCAAAGTATAAGTTTTGTACTTCTTTTGTTGTCTAAGCATTTTATTGTTTTTGATGCTGTTGTAAATGGAATTGTTTTCTTAATTTTCTTTTTGGATTGTTCATTGCAACTGACTTTTTTTTTTTTTTTTTTTTTTTTTTTTTTTTGCAACTGACTTTTGTATATTGATCTTATATCCTGCAAGCTTGCTGAACTTGTTTATTAGTTCTGATAGTTTTTTAGTGGATTCCTTAGAATTTTCTGTATGGGAGATCATGTTATTTGTGATTAAATGTAGCTTTAGTTCTCTCTTTCTAATCTAGATGCCCTTTCTTTCATTTTCTTGATGGGGGCCATTTTTATAGGTTCATTACAGATTGCCTAAAGAGGGCTCTCTCTCTGCAGAACAGGGTGACAGAGCTGCTGAGGGTCTGGGACAGGCTAGCACAGTCTTTTTGGCTCAGGCCATTGAAGGCTCTGCAGTTCATCTCCATCCATAACGACATTTCTCTCTTGTTGCTCCACATGGCTAAGTATTGTTAAAATCATGCTCTAAAGAATAAGAAAACTTATGTGAATCTGGTTAATGACATGAAAGTACATTATCTTAGGAATATGTAAATTTACAACTCTGATTCAGCTCTGTATAATGTAGAGCTTCCCTCTGCCTCAATTTTCTACTCCCCTAACACCCAGAAATGTTTATATCAAAGGTATATCATATCTGTATTTTTTCCTTTTTTGGTTTCTCCATGGTATTGCAGCAGAAACACACACAGGAATATGGAAAAATCTTCAAGTCTCACTTTGGTCCTCAGTTTGTAGTATCTATTGCAGACCGAGACATGGTGGCTCAGGTGCTCCGGGCAGAGGGGGCCGCGCCCCAGAGAGCCAACATGGGGTCCTGGCAGGAGTACCGACACTTGCGAGGGAGATCCACCGGGCTCATCTCGGCGTGAGTATGTGGCCCCCGTGGGCCGTGGTTGGGAGGCCCCTGCTTGGATACGTGACTTTGAAAACCAGTCTTTAATAAATTGCACACCTCCCAGTGGCGTAGTGGCAAAACGGCCTCTTTGCGTGATCTCCTAAATACTGGTGCCAGAGGGCCCGTCCCTTCTCCTCTGGGAAGAGGTTTAATGCCAGGGACAAGGTCGGGTTGCACTAGCCTGGGAGAAGGCAAGAACTGTTTCTCAAGCAGTGCTCCAAGGCTGTCAGTGTCCTCTCTGTGACAACGAAGGGAGGGAGGTTCACAGAGCAGATCTGTGGGCAGAGGGGGAAGGAGCAGCTGCTTTAGGAGACACCAAAGAGGGGTTAAGAGCCTTCCTGTGTGGATCTCTATGTGATGCTGTTCCCATCTCATAATAGGCTATGATTATTGTTTGTAAACAAGGCTTACCAACACCTCTGTGCCCCTAAGAGCTAATCAGCACGATTCCAGGCAGGAAGGAGAACACAGAGCACCTGTGGATCCCCTGGTCCAAATCCCTTTGGTTTAGAACTTCCATTTGTGATTCTTTTTTCATATATATGCCCTATACATGAATTAAAGAGAAGTACAACCATAGGTTTCTCAAATGAGATAAATAAAAGCTGGGACTGGGTATCGCCAGAGCCCCTCAACTTTGGCTCTGAGGGAAATAATCAAACACCTTCTCCCTACTGGTCCAGCCCCAGAGGGGAGTGGCCAAATGCTGCAAAAGCTCTCGCTCTCTGTGCCACTCCTTGAGGCATCCACTATCCATTCTCCACCCAGGAGCTCAGTTCAGGGTTCACCTTTTTCTCTTTTGCTAATCCCAACAGCCTCGTGTCTCATTATTATAATATTTCTGCAGGGTTTTTTCAAAGGAAATCATCTCACTTTCTTTTTTAATTTTTTATTTATTTAACTTTTAGATCTCTCTCTTTTTTTTAAGATTTTATTTATATATTTGACAGACAGAGATCACAAGTAGGCAGAGAGGCAGGCAGAGAGAGAGAGAGATGGGGAAGCAGGCTCCCTGCTAAACAAAGAGCCCGATGTAGGGCTCGATCCCAGGACCCTGGGATCATGAGCTGAGGCGAAGGCAGAGGCTTTAACTCACTGAGCCACCCAGGCGCCCCCTCATCTCACTTTCTTTTTTTTTTTTTTTTAAGATTTTATTTATTTGACAGACAGAGATCACAAGTAGACAGAGAGGCAGGCAGAGAGAGAGAGGGAAGCAGGCTCCCTGCTGAGCAGAGAGCCCGATGTGGGACTCGATCCCAGGACCCTGAGATCATGACCTGAGCCGAAGGCAGCAGCTTAACCCACTGAGCCACACAGGCGCCCCTCATCTCACTTTCATAAAGATGATTCCCAGTGGGATTTTTTCCCCTTCCAAGTTTGCTTCGAGGGAAACAGACTGCAAGGCTGAAGTTCTCCCCTCCTCTTGCGCAGTATCTTAATTCTATTTGGATCAGCAGATCTTGTTGGCTTTTTATTACTGGGGAAACTCTCAGAGGTTCCCTGAGTTCTTTTCCAGGATGTCAATGGAAGTAAGATGATTTGAAACTCACTTTACTCTTCTAGGGAGGGTGAACAGTGGCTCAAGATGAGACGTGTACTGAGACAAAGAATTCTGAAACCAAGAGATGTGGCCATTTTTTCAAGCGAAATCAACCAAGTTATTGCTGATTTAATTAAAAGAATCTATGTCCTCAAGAGCCAGGCAGAAGATGGAGAAACGGTGACCAATGTCAATGACCTTTTCTTCAAATATTCAATGGAAGGTGAGGCGAAGTCAGAGGGTAGATGGCAGAAATGGTAGTTCTCATCCACTGGGCATGCCCTATGTCCCTGGCAGGCACTGGGCTGAGCCCCGCACATACACACCCATATCTCTCATGGTGCTGACTTAGCCAGGGGTACTGTTACCGCTGGTTTACAAGTGGGGAAATTGAAAACCCGCCCCCATTTTTAGTGGCAGAAACTTAATTTCGAATCCAGGTCTTTTAAAGATTTTATTTATTTATTTGACAGAGAGAGAGATCACAAGTAGGCAGAGAGGCAGGCAGAGAGAGAGGAGGATGCAGGCTCCCTGCTGAGCAGAGAGCCCGATGCGGGCCTCGATCCCAGGACCCTGGGATCATGACCTGAGCCGAAGGCAGAGGCTTTAACCCACTGAGCCACCCAGGCGCCCATGAATCCAGGTCTTTTAAACTCAAGAATCATGCTCCTAATTCCTGCATGTTTTGCTTTAGCACAGTTTGTAGAAAACAGTAGAAGTTTAGAGGGCGTCTACTGCAGTCATTCTAGCTTTTAAAATTCATGTGGGATGGGTAGGGTATTCCCATCCATGTCCTAAAATCAAAAATCAAACCCCAAATGTAGTCATTGAAAATTCCCTGCCCTCTCTTTCCTGACCTGGGGAGGTCACCAGTTTCTTTAAAGGATACATGTGAATACTCTTTTTTTTTTTGCTCAGAGGGAGAGAGAAAGCACAAGCAGGGGGAGGGGCAGGCAGAGGGAGAAGCAGGCTCCCTGCTGAGCAAGGAGCTGGATGCAGAACTCTATCCCTGGACTCTGGAATCATGACCTGAGCTGAAGGCAGATGCTTAACACACTGAATCACCCAGATGTCCCTAATTTTCACTTAAACAAAACAAAACAAAATAAAACAAAAAACATAATAGTAGCGAACCAAACTTCTTGTTTTGTACTTTTGTACTCTATCAGCATTCTCCTTTTTTAAAAGCGAGTTTACCTTAGTTCAAATTTAATTTTTAAGTTAACTTTTTAAGTTCTGTTAATGCTCCCTGAGCAGAGTAACAAAATCAACAGAGAGTTGTAAACACAGTGGAAAATCTTGCTTTTTCCTGATTCATTGAGACTGTTTCCTCTGCTCCTGTGACTCTTTGGGCCTGGGGCTCCCCCCTTCATGGCTCAGAAGAGCCACCTTTCAATTCCCTAGCGTTGGGCAAGTGGTCAAAAGGTTGGCGCCTTTGCATCCTGGGTCTTGAACAAACCCTCAGGAGGGTCGGGGGAGGGGGTGGTGGGGGCTGCTATATGGCTGAGCCCTGCCAGACAAAAGGAATGACCCACCAACCTGCTTCCTATCAGCCCTGAATACTCAAGCCCTGGAGCTCAGGACCTGGTAGAGAAAACCTCTGGTGATACAGCAGAGCCTCACTGGAGGAAGGCCCCTTGATTGCTTTTGCAACTTTTATGGCTAGATGTTGCCTGTTGATACTGTGCGTAACGAAAAAGGAGAGGGTCTTTCAACTCACTTTCCTGTGCAGGAGTGGCCACCATCCTTTATGAGAGCCGCCTGGACTGCCTGGAGGACAGCATCCCGCAGGCCACCGTGGACTACATCGAGGCCCTGGGGCTCATGTTCAGCATATTCAAGACCTCCATGTACGCGGGCGCCATCCCCAGGTGGCTCCGCCCGTTCATCCCGAAACCCTGGCGGGAGTTCTGCAGGTCCTGGGACAGACTCTTCAGATTCAGTAAGAGAAGAATCGAGGGGCTCCAGTCGTCTTACCGGTTGACCCAAGTGCGCGGCTTGCGGCGTATCTGAGGCTTCTGCCGCTGGAGGGGTGACGCTGTGGAGGGTGGCCTGGCGTGGTTGTGTGCTGGTACTTGGACCTGTTATCTGGCTCGGCTTCTCAGATGACAAGACGCATGTGGGTTGCTACTATCAGCAATGCGACCAATTTCCCATTTTTGAATTCTTTTCATTGTGACAAACATGCTAGCGGTGATATATGCAAGTAAATGTCGTCTAAGGGAGATGATGTCTTTGGTCCAATGATTCTGTCAGTGCTTGAAGTGCAGACAGCGTTTTAGGCCTGTGCACTTTCTTTCTTTCTTTCTTTTAAAAATTATTTTTGCTAACATATAATGTATTATTTGCCCCAGGGGTACAGGTCTGTGAATCATTAGGCTTACACATTTTACAGCACTCACCATAGCCCATACCCTCCCCAATGTCCATAACCCAGCCACCCCATCTCTCTCCCTCCATCCCCCAGGAACCCTCAGTTTGTTTCCTGAGATTAAGAGTCTCTTATGGTTTGTCTCCCTCCCAATCCCATCTTGTTTCATTTTTTCTTTCCCTACCCCCCACAACCCCCTCACCACCTCTCAAATTCCTCATATCAGGGAAATCATATGATAATTGTCTTTCTCTGATTGACTTACTTCGCTCAGCATAATACCCTCTAGTTCCATCTACATCGTTGCAAATGGCAAGATTTTGTTTCTTTTGATGGCTGCAGAGTATTCCAGTGTATATATATACCACATCTTCTTTATCCATTCATCTGTTCTTTCCATAGTTTGGCTATTGTGGACATTGCTGCTATAAACATTCGGGTGCGGGCCTGTGCACTTTCACTCGAACATTCTCACTTGCAGCTTTTTGGAAAGAGACAAATTCCTCTGTTTCTTACCTGGTGAAATAAACTAGGAAACTATACTTCGTTCAAACCCAGCAAAGTGAGATTAGTTTTCCTACATAGCTAACCAAGGATTTCCAAAAAGAAAAGATTTGCAAATTGTTTGTTAGAACGATGTTTTTAGAACAACACTAACGTTGAAAGAAATGTCCCATAGTGTCTTTTGAAGACCAACATTCATTTGAATATGTAAGTTCTGATGGATTGAATGTGGCACTATCTTTTTATGGTAACATAGCCTTTACTCTCACTCCATTCTCCCTTCTGGAAACATGGTAGAAAAAAAAAAAAAAAAAGAAAAGAAAAAAGAAAGGATCTGTAGTCTTATTACTCCAAAGCTTTCTTGGCTCTTTGATGAGTAAAGCAAACATTTGCAAGTATCTTCTGCATTATTTTCAGAGTGGAAGAGATATTTAGCTTGTCTTTAATTTTTTTTAAAAGGTTTTATTTATTTGAGAGCGAGAGAATGAGCATGAGGTGGGGGAGAGGGACAAGCAGACTCCCTACTGAGCAGGGAGCCTGACTCCGGACCCTATCTCAGGACTCTGGGATTGTGACCCGAGCAGAAGGTAACTGACTGAGCCGTGCAGGCGCCCCGTTTTTAACTTTTCATTCATTTATACAAACAAGCATGTGGATGAGCTTCCCAGATTGACAGCAAATTGACCTGCGTTTCATTTAGCTTTGGAATCTGCCACAGATTAAGTTACTGGGAAGATGAAGAGGTTATTCTCAACAAAACTTCTTTCAAAAGAAATAACTGTTTTCAAACAGGCCAAATCCACATTGACAACAAGCTGAAGGACATACAGTCCCACATGGACAGCGGGGAGACCGTGAGAGGGGGGCTGCTCACATGCCTTTTCCTCAGTCAGGAGCTGACCCTGGAGGAGATCTACGCCAACATGACGGAGATGCTGCTGGCTGGCGTGGACACGGTGAGTGTCTTGGCCTTTGTCTCTTCTCGATAAGCAAAGCACAGCTAAAGCTAGGAGCCTTCCTGAGTAATCTCATACGTGCATAACATGTTGGTGCTAACAACTTCTGCTTCACTGCTGAAAGTTTCCAGGAGAAAACTCCAACTTTTAAATAATATATGTGTATTTTAAAACATAAAACCATAATTCTGCAAAAAATGTAAGTTATCACGCACACAAAGTGACAATATGTTTTAAAGCTTAAAAATCATTCCCGATTGACAAACCTTGGTTATTGCTTCATTATACAAAAAATGAAGAAGCCACAGATATTAGAAACATTATTATTTATCATTTAAAGTATTACAGGTCACGGAGAACTCCCCAATTCATTTTATAAAGCCACCATCCCTTTTAAACCCAAATGTGCTAAGGAGAGCATAAAGAAAAGTTTAATAAACAGTTTGACTTATGAATATGTGTGTCTATCGGTCTTAAGTAAGATGCCGATGAATAGATGTATTGTGGCAGATGAATAATCTACTATGACCAAGGAAGGGTGACATCAGAATGAACAAAGCACAGCCAAGAGACTGGGTGGGAATTGCATCCCATGTTGTTAAGTGAGAAATGAAGACGCAGAAAACTGTGTATGTTGTGCTCCTATTGGTAAAACAAACAGTGGCCCGGCCCCTGCTTGTCTTGTGCGTGTCCATATCTGTACATGTTTAAGAGTGTGGAGGAAGGTATAGAGGGAGCACACTGGGTTTTTAATATGGGTTACCTGCCTGGGGAAATGGGAGCCAAGTTTCCCTCCAAAACATATGTGTAATGTGATACATTTATTCATGTATGAAAAATGATATACATGTGGGTATATATACAGAGAAATTTTAAAATTTGCTAAAAAGAAGTAGTGGAACAGGAAAAAACAGGGCTAGGTTTTTAGTATTTGGTGGAGGAAAAGTTAGTTGAGTGAAATAATTAAGATTTGCCTGATGCTTCACTATTTCCAAAGCCCTTCAAAACTAAACAACTAAGCTTTTCCTTTACAGGAGTGCTTCTTGAACTTGCATAAGGCACAGACCTCCTGTTTAAAGGGAGAAGCGCCCCACCCCAGGGTTGACATTGTTTTTATTATAATGTCACATAAACATGTAAAAGCAAAAAACTTAGTATAAATTCCTTATTTTTATGGATCTTCTACAACAATAAAACAAAGACATGTATAAAACTAACCAATGAAATCAATGTGATCAATGAAAATTCTAATCAGCCACGTGAATGTGATGAGTGGTGTGGGTTTGCTTGAATGGGGAGGGGATGAGCGGAGTGAATGCTTGGCCTTGCCTCTGAGAGGATTCGGGTATGTTGTCCCTCCTGCCCCCTGGTGGTAATTAAGAGCATCACAGGAGGTGGAGCACAGAAAAGACCATTCCTACCAGAGGCCCCTGAAAGGAACATCAGCAGATGCGTTCTTACAATTCATATTCATTTTCTAAAATATTACTTAAAAAAACTTTATTGCAGTATAACTTATGCAAAAGAAATGGCACCCTTTTAAACCGTACAATTTATTATAACTTGTTGGCAGATACAAGATAAACACAAATGTGATCATTTATGAAACCACCACCCTAATCAAGATCCTGAATATTTCTACCACCCCTGAAATTTCCTTACTCCCATTTCAGTCCATCTCTCCTGACCCGCCTGCCCCAGGTAACCGCTGATTTGCTTTATGATGCTCAACATCAGTTCTCGCTTTTCTGGAAATGTTTAGAAATAGAATCATACAGTGTGTATTTTGCATCCAGCTTCATTCAGTCAGCGAATGATTTCAGGATTCACTGATAGTTGCATATGAAAGTAGTTTATTCATCGTTTTATTGCACTTCACAGATAGATTTTTTTTTTTTGCAAATTAAATGTTTGTGGCCACCCTGCATTGAGCAAGACTGTTGTCTCCATTTTTCCAACAGCATCTGCTCATTTTTTGTCTCCAAGTCATACTTTGTTAATTCTCATGATATTTCATTTTCATTATTATTATATTCATCATAACAATACACAACACAATATTATATACATAATTTGTATTAGATATTGTTATATATAACATAAATATATATTATACATGATAATATATAATAGTAGAATCACTGGTCTGTGCTCAGTGGGTGATTAGGACTTGCTGAAAGCTCAGGTGATTGTTTGCAGTTTTTACCAATAAAGTATTTTTAAGTTAAGGTGGGTAAGTTGTTGTTTTAGACATAATGCTATTGCATACTTAAGAGATTACAGTAAAGTATAAGCATGGCTTTTATTTGCACTAGGAAAGCAAACAATTCATTTGACTCACTTTATTGTGATACTCGTTTTATTGTGGTAGTCTGGAACCCAACCCAGATTATCTCCAGGGTATGCCTGTAGTATTCCATTGTATGCATATGCCACATTTGGTCTTTCCACAGAAACGTGATTGTAATAGAAATTTCTAAATTTTTTCCTTATCATTTATAAGGAAGAACTTGCACATTATATATATTATAGGTGAGCTTGCCCTCTAAAAACATATGATATCTATCACAGGGAAATGATATCAGTATGGCCTACTGACTTCAGATTTTTTTTTTTAGGTAAAAGTAAAGGCATTTATATTGTGGACTTGTTTATGAGAGTGAAATACAGTCACATAGATAATAGGGAAAATGTAGTGAAAGTCTTGGAACCTCGGAGAATAAGACAGAATTATTTTCAATGACCAGAAATGTAATTCTTCAGTCTGAGACATGGTATTTAAAAAAATGCTAATGTTTTGAATAAATGATCTATTAAATCTTTATAGGTTGCTTTACTTGAGAAGGTCATGGAAACAGTGAACAAATTACCCCCTGCCCCCTATGAGCAAGTCCTGCCCAGTCATTGTGGCCCTGGCATTGCCAGACTGAACAATTCCCAGGCTGACCAGCAGGCTCTGGCCCTTGCTAGCAAAAACCAGATGACATTTGCAAAGAAGGTCACAGAAAGTTCCAGGCACAACTTCCAGGCTTGACCAGCATCCTTAGGTCCTCTCAGATGCCATTGAAGGGGACTGCTCTTACGTGATCCAAAAAAGTTCCAAAATAATGTCTTCTGCAGTCCTTCATTGAAAGAGCATCTGAATCACACAGTTGATGTTACTTTCCAAAAAAAAAAATTTTTTTTTTTTTCTGGCATGATTTAGGGAAAATCAGCTTTTGCTTTGGTAAGGCCTATGAATGAACACGACTTTCCACATGTGCTTATGCTCACTTGACTTCCTGGCCGATGTTGCCTGTTGCTTAAATCCTTGGTTTTACCCATGTGCCTGTGTCTGCTGGTTTCTTTATTAGACATCCTTCACGTTATCCTGGGCAGTGTATCTCCTGGCGAGGCACCCAGAAGTGCAGCAGACGGTGTACCAGGAGATCCTTAAGAATTTGGGGGATAGGCACGTCCCAATGGCAGCTGACGTCCCCAAAGTCCCACTGGTCAGAGCTCTGCTGAAGGAAACACTGAGGTAAAAGGCTCACCAAAATTCATGTCAAAAACTGTCTTGTAAGTCTCTGATGCTTTATCATCATGATTTAATTGGGTCCAAAACAAATGCACCAACAACCTGCAGTGGCCGAAGGAGATAGTTTTAACTATCTTTGTTTCCTCTCTGCTCTTGTCAGAATAACAGAAAGACTGCTCTGTTTTATGGTCTGAACTGTTAATTGTTCTTCACAAAGCTCTTTGGAGCCATCACCCCATGACATCGTACCTGCTTTAGTCATTTGTTTCACCAAGTTCCCCAGCGTGCTCCTGGAGCAGTACTCCGTGGTTCCCGTTCCTCTGAATGTAAAGCAGAGCGAGAGGGATTGATCAGGAAAATATTTTGGGCTGTTTGGCTGATTACCAAACCTGCTTACTGTTGTTCTAGTGTGGATATGCTAGTCGAAATGGTAACACCGAGTGGACTCACTCACTCCATGACAGGGCTTTACCGACACTCAGAAAAGGCTGGACGTGAGGGACGTGGGTGGCCTTGAGTGGGTTTGGGTGGGAGGTAGGATCAGGCGGCCAATGAAATTTCTTCCTCCTTTGAGGTTCAGGGATTCTGAACCCCGCGTTCCTCTGTGGAGGACCGCCATGCAGAGGAGCTGAGATGGATTCATGGTATGCCCTACAGTAATTCTTTTAAACTTGACTTGATAATGGTGTTTCAAGTTGTACCTCCTCAATCCATAGCATGTTGTTTAAGCTCAGGGGGAAAAAGCTAGCTGTGTGTTTACTGGTATTTGTCAATTGCAATTTTGTTCAGAGTTTTCTCCAGATTGCCTCTCAGAGACAATCCAAACGCTGAAGTAGAGCTTTTCTCAACATGTGTTTCCTGGGTCCCTAAGCCCTGTGGCTTGTTCCTTGAGGAAGGGGGTCCCATGTGCACGTAAGTTTCCCAGACTCGGGATTACCCCTCCTGGGAACATAATAGCACGTTCAAAGCTCTGCTTTGTGTTTCGTGAACATTTTTGACCAGGGGACCTGCTTTCCCATTCCTCAGGGTACTCGCCGGCCAAAGCTAAGGAACCACGCAGGTCCTCACAAGATTTTTTAGGTGAAACTGGACCTCGTGTTATGTTTTAGAAAAATGAAAATGACAAGATGTCCAGATTTTTGAAAGTGAAGTAAAATACTTTAAAAGTGACTACCCAATCCTGCTCCTGTTGGTTCTTTTCCAGGCTGTTTCCAGTGTTGCCGGGGAATGGCCGAGTGACCCAGGAAGACCTGGTCATTGGCGGGTACCTGATTCCCAAAGGCGTGAGTATGGTTGCCAGGGTGTGGGGACTTGGGCTCTGCCATGTGGCTGAGGAGGAAGTCTGCTGGTATGTTTAGGAAGTCCTTGCGCCCTAGCAAATATCACTAGGTTCCTTCCCTTCTGCACGTATTTTATGATGAAGATGGGGCTTTCGAAGCAAGGACCCTTATGTGTCTCCTTCTAGCCAGAAGCATCTCGGGAGGGACAGGCAACAGGGTTCTTGCCTCTGCCCTGCTTTTGTGTGATCCTATTCTTCATTCCTTTTCTGTTGCAAATGGTGCTCTCAGACCCAGCTGGCCCTCTGCCACTATGCCACGTCCTATGCGGATGAGAACTTCCCTCGGGCCAAGGAGTTCCGGCCAGAGCGCTGGCTGCGGAAGGGAAGGCTGGACCGAGTTGACAACTTTGGGTCCATCCCCTTTGGGTATGGGGTTCGGAGCTGCATCGGGCAGAGAATCGCAGAGCTGGAGATTCATCTCCTCATGATCCAGGTAGGCGGGTGGGGGCCAGACATCAGCCTTCTGCCTTGGCCTTGTTTCCTGGGCTCCATCAGACCAAGACTTGAGTAGGAAAGGAGATGCATTTGGAATATTTGGAAAACTCAAAAGTAAGAGCTTCATGTTAAATCCTTTTTACATTTTAAAATGCCACCCCCTTGGGTCCCCTGACCACCCACTGAGCCTCTTTTCTCCTTGGAACCATGGAGCAGCAGTTTGGGCCCTTGGAGGCCTGAAGGACTGGGAAGTGGCCATGCTGTGCTGGGTCTACAGGGGCCCAAGAGCTCAGCTATTCATCACACGAGGAGCTCTCGACAGAAGTGAATGGGAAGGTGACACGCATGTCAAAAGGTTTCGGAGCAGCAAAGGCATTAGGAGGCTCCTTAAAATGCAGGTTCCTGGGCCTCCACAGAGATAGTAATTTGGTGGGTCTGGGGTGGGGCTTCAGTGGGGGGGTTCTGATGCTGGTGGTCACTGGGCACACTCTGAGAGATGTGTGAACCAGCCACTTACACAGTGCAGTGGTTCTCATACTTGTTTAGGTTGTGAAACAGCAGGAAGGCTTGGTTTTTGTTGGAGAATACCTTACATTTAATCTCTTACTGTTAAAATAGATGCTTTTCTGCTTCTACTGTTTTGAGTTTGTGCCATAGCATGAGCTAAATTGTGTTTGAAGGAAATTTTATAAAATGAATGACTTAAATTTTTTTTAAAGGATTTTATTTATTTGACAGCACAAACAGGGGGAACAGCAGGCGAAAGAAGAAGAGACTTTAGTAGAGAAAATTCTACTTGTTAGGTTTCCCTGCAAATTTAGGAAGACTACTATTAACATGTCTTAGCCATGGAAGACCTTGGCCCAAGGTTTGGGAGCTACTGCCATTGACATTGCATTGGAAGAATGTAGAGATTACCTGGTGACCCAGGCTTCCCATTTTATTGAGGAGGCAACTGAGGCTCAGAGAGTTGGAGCCACTTGCCCCAGTCACAGAGTGGCAGGTACATGGCATGATCCAGGTGTCTTGACTCCTTTCTACATTTCCACCATGTTATGGAGGTGCTTTCCTGCAGCCTCACAGAGCTTAGAGCAGAACACTGAGAGGTTAGGACCTTGAAAGAGTCCTTTCATGTCCTTTCATGAGTGGCATGAGTGTGTGCAAGCTGCTATGGAAGCCAGGCCAGCCTGGGAGGGTGGAGAGGGATTCTGGATGGTCAGCACTTGGGGACAGCTCTGAGAGCTGGAGAACTTGAAAGGCTTCTGCTCGGATGGGGAGTAGGCAGCCGGAGGTGTGGGAGTAGAGCACCTCTCGAGCTGGGCGGCTCAGGTGGAGAAAGCCTGGTGACCGGTGTGTTAAACAGTCATCCCCAACTCGGTCGGGATGCGGTGACTGCTGGCCAGGCTCAGTGGGGTTGTCACCAGTGCAGCCATTCCTGGGGACGGTCGGCCCTGTGGACATTGACCCATCTTGCTGCATTTGGGGTGAGAAGCAGCTCAGTGTGGTGGAGATGGGAGTTCTGGGGCAAGTGGACTCAAATCCCAGCTCTGCTGTTTGCTGGTTCTGACACTCTGGGCAGGTTTCTCAGCCATGAGGAGCCTATTTCCTTATTCATGAAATGGGCCAAATACCTACTTCTTGCGTGTGTGAGGACACAGTCTGTGCTGGAGAAGTGGCAGCTGCTGTTGGCCATGCACCTGCTCTGAGTGTCTGCCCTTGGGTTTTTGGGAATGTCTCACGCTATAAAGTGCTGCCATAGATTCTACAGCCACATCCGGGACAGGCAGAGGCTTCCTACTGAGTCGGCCATGGGGCTTTCTAGCCCTGCCTGGTGCTTCCTTGGAAGAGGGTCAGGAACAGGGTGTTTGGTGGCCGCGATGGGGTTTTGTTTCTTGGTGCTATTAACATACAACTGTACCTGCTGGGGTTTTCCTTAGAGTCCTCATTTCTACTTGTGCAAATAGAGAAAGGGAGTGTCATTATCTGTAATTGTCAAGGGGGTAAAAAAAAAAAAAAAAAGAGGGAGAAGAGACACAAGCCATGCTAGGAATGAGAAAAGAGATATAGCTAAAGATGCAGTTGCTGATTTTTTTAAATCAAGAAAATACCACAAATGACTTTTTTTGCTAATAGATTTGAAGACTTAGATAAAATGTACAATGTACTAGAAAATGTAAGTTGCCCAAATTGACTCGAAAGAGAATAGACCTCAGATATCGAATGCATGGAGTCAGCGGTAAGAAGATTTGCCCCCCTAAATGTTCCAGACCTAGACGGTTTCATTGCAAGTTTTATCAAACCTTCAATGAATGGGTAATCATCATCTTATACAAACAGAGACTAGGAAAAGGAAGTCTCATTTTTATGAGACTTGCGTAGCCCCAATAGTCAAAACCTGGAGAGGGTAATATGAGAAGGAAAACCACCAGCCAGTCGGATTTATTAACAAAGAGGGAAGATATCCTAAGTGAAAACTTGGCAAATGGAACCCTGCTGTGTAGGCAACAGAGATGCATCCCCAGCACATCAGGTTTATTCAGAAATGCAAGGATGGCCCACCTTAAGGACATCTGTTGATATCACTTGCCACAGTAGCTAATGGAAGGAGAAAAATTAAATGACCCCTCCCCCCAAAAGAATGCTAACGTGCCACACACATTCATGAAGAAAGTCTCTTAACAGTAACAGAAGGGCTTTCCTTAACAAGATAAATGGCGTCTCCCCCAGTAGGACGGGGAACATGCCTGTGGCCTCAGAAAGGGAAAGGACTTTAGTGGTGCACTGTCAAATGGGAGCAAGATCTTTGTATCATGCAGAGAACTTTGAGAAGATACACTTTAGCTCCTTGGGACTTGAGGTGCAAGAGAGGCTTTGTTTTTTGCTTGTACATTTCCTGTGTAGTTTGGATTTTCTTTTAGTGAGCATAGTGTTGCCCACTCAGAAAGGGAAGAAGGCCAGGTGGCACGTTAGCCTGAACGTGGAGGAGACCTACACATGAGTTCTTTTGCTATGTGGGATGTGCAAGCAGTTCTGCAAAGTCAGAACCAAAGGTCAGAGGTTAGGTGTTTTGCTGAAGCTATCTCGATGCCATAACATGTTGGAGCTGCCTAAATATGTTAATTCAGCTTGGCTCTTGAAATGTGACAATGGAGGAGGTCCAACGTATGTTCCCAGTCAGCCCTGCCCCTTCCCCCTGCCAGACCTCCCCTGAGGCTCCAGCCCACCTGAGGACCTGTCAAGGGGTCCTGGTTCTTTGCTTGAGAGACGAGGCTGGAGAGGGAGTCAGGGCTGGGTAGGGGTGGGCAGCCTGGATCCCATGTGACATTTTATGTTCTCCCAAACTGACACTTTGTTGGGCTGGACTTTATTCTGGACCTAGTGGGCAGCAGGGTAAGGGGCAGTAGCTAGTGTGCTGGTGAGCACGGCCCTTCCTCCTCTCCAGGAACCCATGTGTGCTCTGACTCAGGCCTTTAGAGCAGGTTGCCTTGAGTTCCCTAAGCCAACATGACCTTGAACATCAGCCCAGGGCCGGTAGATGGCGAATGTTATTGCTTTAAGCTGATGGATACTTTGGTGCTCATTGTTGAGGTACTTTCCAGGCTGACCCTGAATGGTAGAGCTGGTTCTCTTTTTGAGCTGCAGAAATGAGAGATGCAATCAAAGGTACAGATTGAGAATATTTAAACTGAGGACATCACTGAAGCCTGTTTGGATGATTGACTTGCCAACAGCAGTGCACTCCCCCAGGCCTCTATCACCTTGGGTTCCCAGCCGGTGGGAAACCTGGAACTTTCACCTTGTCCCTCTGTCCTCCTTCCTCCTTTGATTTCTTCTTTACCTTGACCTAAAGAGGAAGCAGAGGAGTTGGAGTTTTGAAATGGCTGAGAAAATGGAAGTCATTTGAACATTGTGTCTGCATATCTTTGTCATGTGAGCTTCCCAGTTGCTCAGTGGACAGGCTGGGCTCCCGTGCAGGACCTAGTGCTGCTCTCAGACCCGCAGCAGCCCCTGCATCCCCTGACCGGTGATTGGTGTCCGCACCATGGCCATGCCCACTTCCTGGGCTCCTTGCAGCCTGTGGCCACCGCAGGAAGAGGAGGGGTTCTCATTCAGAGCACTATGAGTCCTCTGCTGACCCCATTTTGAATCCCCCCTCTCTCTTTCTCTTCTTAGTTGCTTCAACATTTTGAGATCAAAACATCCTCTTGGACTAAAGCTGTTCCTGCAAAAACCCATGGGCTGCTGATGCCAGGGGGGCCCATCCATGTGCGTTTTGTTAACAGAAAGTGAGCCTGGATTTTTAAACCCAGCCAGCTGCCCGACACAAACCAGTGTTCCAGTGTCACTGATGACAGCAGTGGAGGGAAACCATCACTTTTACAGGCTGTCTTCGTGATAAATTGCCCCCAGGTTCTGGGAGACTTGTACATCTTTATGCAAAGTAATTTGAAAAGATTATTGGACTTTGGCAAACCAGTGTAGCCTTTTCTTTGGAGAAACGACTGTTTAAAAATGAGGGGCACTGAATCCTGGTGTCTCCTCCGTGGTCTTACCCTTGTGCTATACTTGATATTCAATTAATTATAGTCTCCTATACATTTGTGCAAGGAAGTGTTGGTTTACTTACAAATTCTGTGCTTGAACATATGTCTTGTTATACTGCACTGGGACTCTATGTCAGGAGGCCAATGCAACTAACTGTTTCTAATTTGAAGAGGGAACATACGAGTGTCTCTGTAATACTGCAAGTATGAGAGGAAAGCACCAGAGTCAACATTTTATCCTGAGTACCAGTTTTAGATCCTGCAGAAGAGCTCAAAATTAACGGGACCATATTCTTATTTTTCTCTCCAAACTGGTGCTTCCTTTTCCAGTAAGAGCTCCTGAAGAAGTTGAAGATTAGCTTTTGTTTGAAAGAAATAATCAATAAAAAATAGAACTCCTGGTGGAATCCAGAATAATTGGGTTTTATGACCAAGTATAAACACTAAAAAGATGTATAAGAAAATTTGACTGTGGAATTTTATTGCCTCAGTTGAGAAAAATGAATTAGATAAGCAGAGTGGAGAACTGTATAATTTTAGAACATTTTTATTTTAAGGAAAAAAATATATAAGTGGACATGCTATAGATAATATTTTGATCTTCATGGTGTTGTTTTAAATATCTGAACTGGAAATGTGATCCAGCTGTTAGTGCTTATGTAAGGCTCCAACCGGATGCTTAGGGCCTCAGGATTGTTCGCTCATGCCAAGCTCTGTCGCCTTTCATGCTACTTGCTGATCGTTAATAAGAAAAAACACCATTTTGTAACATTCTCCCTGCATAGTCATGCTTGAAATGGCTTCTTCTCAATCCCACAAATCTTTTCACACATTCCTTCCCCCAAATCACTTTCCTACTAATACATACCACACAGCTCCTCCTGCACTTTAGTTAGTCATGTCGCAAAATAACCCTTAAACAAAATAGAAATAATAGCCATTTCACATCCCGTCTTTGTTAAAGTATGTAACAACGTTAAATCTGTGTGTGAAGACAGCACAATTCTAGTCTGAGCGCTATGGAAACATGTATAGTTAAATATGAAATTATGTCATAATAACTGACAAGATGTTGGATTACTTTGAGATCTATAAACTTTTATAAGCTCGCTACAATTTTCTTCTGTTTGTAACTGAAATTAAAAAGTACTGAGACGAATGAAGCGACTTGAAGCGACCTCTTGCTCTACAACGCTGCAACACTCTCGGGCAGCGTGTCCCCGCCTGGTGATGGGTCTGCGGTGAAGACGGTGGTAACACCCGAGCCTGCTGTTCTGTCTCACTGGACAGAGGGACAGACTGACCTTAGGAGCCTCCTGATGTGATGCAACAGGAAGCATGTGGCACCAACTACGTTGTTCTTATGGTAGAAATGGAAGTTGTATCGGATGAGTCTGTAGATCTACTACCGGTTTGTAGGAAACACAGGTTATAGAGGGACTTGTTAAAACTCCAAGACAGATACCATATGATCTCTCTCATAAGTGGGATCTAAAAACAAAAAAACAAATGACTAAACAAAAAGCAGAACCAGAACTATAAATACAGAGAAAAAACTGATGGATGACTAAGGGAAGGGGGGGGTTGGGCAAAATGGGTGAAGGGGCATGGGAGGCACAGGCTTCCAGTTCTGGGATGAATAAGTTGTGGGAATGAAAGGCACAGCACAGGGAATACAGTCAGTGGTATTGTAGTGCAAGGCATAGTGAGGGTAGCTACATGTGTGCTGAGTGTAACATAATGTGTCAAGTTGTCCAATCCAAGGTAATATTGTGTCAACTATACTCAAATAAAAAAAATGGTTTTGAAATGAAAAAAAAAATAAAGTGGTCTTTAAATGGAAAAATTATTGTTATTATTATTTTTTTTAAGATTTTTTTTTTTTTATTTGACAGATCACAAGTAGGCAGAGAGGCAGGCAGAGAGAGAGAGGAGGAGGAGGCAGGCTCCCTGCTGAGCAGGGAGGACCCTGGGATCATGACCTGAGCCGAAGGCAGAGGCTTTAACCACTGAGCCACCCAGGCGCCCCAAAATTATTATTATTTTTATAGATATTATTTATTCATTTGAGAAAGACAGAGACAGAGCACAAGCAGGGGGAGAGGCAGAGAGAGACAAAGAATCAGACACCCAGCTGAGCAGGGAGCCCGATGCGGGGCTCCATCCCAGGACCCTGGGATCATGACCCGAGCTGAAGGCAGACGCTTAACCATCTGAGCCCCCCCAGGTGCCCCTAAATGGAAAAATTACAAAATACACAACAGCTTTCAAAAAAACCCAAAAAACAAAAAACAAGAACCAAAACAGAAACAAAAGCAAAACAACTCCGTGCAGAAGCCGTCAGTAGAATCCAGAATATAGTGAAGTCTACATGACAAATAACTCCATTTTTTTCAGCGAGTAAATGACAAGGGAAAAGAAAAAGAGGAAGGAGACGTATTTACTGTTCGTAATGCTGGACTTGGTTTGAATCCAGATTTAAATAAACCACTTGTAAAAAGACATTTAAGAGGTAATTAGGGAAATTTGGACACTGTGTATTTGAATGGCATTAAGGAATTATTGGTTTTTGTGTGTGTGTGTGCTAGTGGTAGTTATTAAATTAAAAAGGGAGAGATCTTATCTCTTGGAGACAGCTCTTAGAGATACCAGTGAGCCATGTTTGCTGATGAGCTGCTAGAACATCTTGGATTTGCTTTAAACATTTTGGATTTGCCTTAAAATAGTGTTGCTGTGGAGGGTGGGTGATGTGTGGGTGCTGGAGGGTGTGGGGAGGATGAGGTGAACCAAGACTGGCCCAGGGCTGAGAACTGCTGGAGCTGGGTGGAGGGCGCAGGGAGGATTCGTGCCATTCTCTCCGCTTTGTGTATGCGTGTGTGCATTTCCATAATAAAACGTGTCTTCAAAAGCCAAAGACAGGGTTGATTAATAACCCCATTATTCATTTCCTTTTTCATTACTAGTCATTAAAGAGCCAAACTGACTATAAATTAGGTTCTTTTGGGAGCTACACCTTTTCTTTCAGTAATTGTTAGCAATGATCAATTTGACTATGGGACAGCCTCGGAGGATCTGGGGTACCTGGATGCGGGGACCTGCCAACTTGTTCAGCCAGCCTTCAGAGCTGAGGACAGATCCAGAGACAGGAGTGAGGAAGGGAGGAGCCAGGCGGCCACTGCAGGCAAGCTGGAACTGGGACAGAGCCCTGGGTGTGGGACAGCAGAGCCGTGGGACCTGCGCAGTCTGTTCCCTGCCTCAGGGTTCTCAAACTCCCAACTCCATTCTCTTTTCTTTCTCCTTCCTTCCTTCCTCCCTTCCTTCCTTCCTTCCTCCTTTCCTTCCTTCCTTCCTAATTCTTTCTTTCTTTCGATTTTATTTATTTATTTGACACACAGAGAGAGAGATAGAGAACACAAAAAGGGGGAGTAGCAGAGGGAGCGGGAGAAGCAATCTCCCCACTGATCAGGGAGCCTGACATGGGTCTCGATTCCAGTACCCTGAGCTGAAGGCAGATGCTTAACCAACTGAGCCACCCAGGTGCCCCCAAACTCCATTTCTAAAAAGGTGCCAGTCCAGAGAAAGGGGTCCACATCTGGCAGGTCTGAGAGCAGACAGAGGTGCCGGAAGTGTGGTGAGAATCAACTCGAGGCTCCTCCGCCAAGGTAGCAGGGCCAACGGTGCAGACAACTGGGGGGGACGCTGGCCGTCCTTTATGGTGAGCGACAGCTGGACTGCCAGACACCAGGAAGGCCAGGGCCCTGGGCTGCAGGATCTGTAGGGGACTCCCTCCCAGCCCTGGGTTCCTCTTCCATCAGGTGTTTGACAGGCTTGGCTTGTAACAGGCATCCTGATCCACAGTCACTGCTGGAAAAGTCTCCAGTTACCCTTAGCCATCGTAACCCTCTCATTTAATGATGAAGATATCCAGTGTTCTATAAATAAAACCTCCCTGAGCCTCACTCCCAGACAAGCCCCTCAGCCCCCTCAGCTCTGGGCAGTTCAGGGAAGCCGATGGAGGGAGGGACAGGTTGGTATCCCTTTTCTGCCCTCCCCCACCCTCCCTGGGTTTGGAGCTGGCAGAGGAAGAGGACGTGGCAGGAAGGGGAAGGGTGGCTTCTGATGGCCTCAGGAGATCTGGCTTCAGGCTCTTTGGCCAGAGCAGACATGCAAAGCTGACTATCCCTCCTTTGGAGTTTTTCTAAATGAGAAACCTCCAGCCGTACCTCCAACAAACAGGCAGTGCCTTTCCTCCAAGTGGTTTCTTAGGACTGTCGCCCAGCCATGGGGCACCCAGAGTCCACTTCTGTCTGGGTCCCATGGCCCATCCAAGCTCTCCCCTTGGGCAGACTCTAAACCCCTGCCCGGCTATGTTGTCCCCACTCTTAGTGATTCTAGTTGCCTCCCTGTGGGCCCAGGCTTGCGCGGGGCCTCTTTCAGGTGTGAGCTGGGCACCAGTGTCTGTGCCCCACAGCCTGCAGGCAAAGAGAGTCAGGCTCCCTCTGAGTGGCTCACTCAGCCTGGGCTGAGGAAGTAACCCCAGGCTGGGTTGCCTGAGTGTGAATGAGGGGTACGCACCACATGCTGCCTCAGCTGGGAGAAACAGAGTCCCATTGCCTCGGCCTTGGCTGCTGTGCAGGGACACCTTGGGAGGCTCCTCCTTCTGGCCTCCAGGAAGCCAGAGGGCCTGGTCCCAGTTGACCCCAGGGACAGGACAGGCCCACACTGGACAAAGTGTAGGCATGGAAGTCTGCACTAGGGCTTTCTTACTTTTTTAGACAAGGGTCAGAGCTGTTGCCTGGAATGGGCCATATGATTCTGCTCAGGGTGGAAAGGGGGCCATTAGAGCCCCACCTGTTGTCATGTCTGCTAATTCTACAACCTTCTTTTTCTTCTTAAAGATTTTGTTTTTAAGTCATCTCTACATCCAACATGGGGCTTGAACTCATAACCCCGAGATCAAGAGTCACATGCTCCCCTGAGCTAGCCTGCTGCCCCCTATGACCTTCTTTTGATTTAAATTGCTAATTTGATTGTATTGTGATCTGCATGGCTTTGTTGAGACTTGCTTTGTGGTCTCACACAGGGTTAATTTTTTAAAAATGTTGCATGTGTGCTGTTGAGTGCAGGGCTCAACATATGTCTTATTAGGCCAGGCTTGGTGTTGTGTTGTCGGGAACATCTGTCTGCTTACTAATGTTTGCCTGCCAATTATTGAAAGTGCCATGTTAAAAATTCCCCCTGTAATTACGGATTTATCAGTTTTTGCTTACTATATTCTTAGTTTGTGTTATTAGGTGCATCCAAGTAAAGTGTTGCTTTATCGTCCTGGGGCGCTATCCCTTTGTCATTACCATTGTCATTATCATTGATCCCCTGCAGGTGCTTATGCCTCAAAGTCCGTTTTCATCTGCCATTCCTTAGCTCCTGCAGCTTTATTTTATTTGCCTGGCATTTCTATTCCCATTTTATCCCCCCCGCCCCAGTTTATTTTCAATCTTGCTGTGTTCTTAGGTCCCAGATGTATCTCTTGTAAACAGAACATAGCTGGATTGAAAAAAAATCTCATCTGGTGATCTCTGTCATTTACCTCTTAACATTTATTGTGACTGCTGATACATTTGAATTTGTCTTACATTTTATTATGCGTTTTCTTTTTAACTTCTCTCCCTCTGTCTTCTTCGATTCTCCTTTCCTGACTTCTTTCTGATTCATTGAGTTTCCCCTTCCCCAGCCCACTGGCTTGGCAATGATGCATTCTTTTCCGACTCTGTCATTTTTAAAAATTTAATTTAAATTTTTAAAGATTTTATTTATTTGTTTCTTTATTTATAGAATGTGTACGCAAGCAGGGGGAGTGGCAGGCAGAGGGAAAGGGTGAAGCAGGCTCCCCACTGAGCAGGGAGCCCGACTGTGGCTAGATCTCAGGACCCTGGGATCACAATCTGGGCCAAAGGCAGAGGCTTAACAGACTAAGTTATCTATACGCCCCTGCCCCCCTGCTCTGTCTTACGTATCTCTCCTGCCCTGTCTTTGAGGTTCACCTTTTCTACCCTCCATATTACTACTATTGTAATTATAGTTTTATAGCATAAACAATCATTTAGATTTACCCACATATTTACCTCTCTGCCATGTGTTTATTCCTTGCATCTCAGATCTTCCTCTGGTTTTAACTCCTTTCTTCCTGAAGTACATCATTTAGAAGTTGTAGCCAGAAAAATCCGTTAGTGATAACGTAGGGATGTCAGTCAGGATGATGACTGCCGTTAACACTGCCATCTGGTATATTCAAAAATTGTTAGAGAGTAGATCCCAAGAGTCCTCATCACAAGGGGAAAACATCTTTTTTTTCTTTTCCTTTTTCTTTTTTTTGTATGTATAAGAGATGAGGATGTTAAGTTAACTTATTGTGGAAATCATTTCACTATATATGTAAGTCAAATTGTTATTCTGTACACCTAAACTCATACAATGTTGTCTTTCAATTATATCTCAATAAAAA